CAAAATTCCGTCTGACTTTCCGGTCCTATCAAGGGGGATTTGCGCTGAACCATCACGACACGGTCAATCGACAGAGTCGTGCGCACACCGTCTCGGGTAGCGTCAACTCCAAGCTGTGATCGGAATCAGACCACGCTATCTCCGCCGGTAGCGTCCTTGGGTAGTAGACTTCTGCCTGTACCCCAACAATACCCCTGAAGGGCCCGATCGGCAACCTGATAGTCTTTGAACCGCCCCTTCGCCAAACGGAGATCCAACACTCAGATCCCGCAGTCATGCCCAGCGCGAGCCATTCGTCTTGCCAAGTAGGGAGACCGAGAGGCCAGAACGGCGTGGACGAGTTGAGTTTCTGCCTCAACACGCAGTATGCCTTCATCCCATCGTACACGAGCTCAAGCTGACGTTGAGACATGATATCGAGCCTTCCACTTAGGTGAATCCTGCCCAGCAGAGAGTTCACCACAGTGAGAGCATTGATCTCATCCGACCAACTTGGCTGGGGATACGCCCATGTCGCGCCCTGCTCGGGTAGAACCGCAGTCGGTAGAGCTGCCGCGATGGCCGCATACAGGATTGGGTCTTGCTGGTCGCTGGTTGATTGGAGAGTGTGGATAGAGAGCATGGCGTATTCCATCCTCTGGGCTCCGCTCGAGCAATTCTCGATCACCAGCCCGGGATGGCGATCCAGAAGGCGAGAGACCCACGCCAAATAAGCCCTCGAATGACCTTCTTGCCCAACACCGGCGCTGGAAGCATTCACATCGGTGCCGAGGACGATCTCGATGTTGTAATCGAACTTGAAGTACTTGATCCCATACGTGTTGACGAGGCGATCGATAACTCCGTCCATGCGTTTTATGACCGCGGGGTGTCTGTAATCCAGCTGGTATCGACCTTTTTCGACGGTGCGAACGCCATCGCGTTGAAAGAAAGCGTCTGCCGGGAAATGGTTGGCCAGCTTGGAGCGAACCCCGATCACCTCTGGCTCGATCCAGACCCCAGTTTTGAGCCCCTTTCGCTGAATCTCCTCGATCAGCCACGCGAAACCCCGCGGGAATCGCCAATTGGACGGTTCCCAAGCACCGACATCGTCCCACCAGTTGCTGTCTTCCGCGTACCATCCAGCGTCGATGACGAAGTATTCTGCTCCAGACGCGGCTACTGGATCCAGCAATGCCAGGAGTTTCTCCTCTGTCGGATCGCCCATTAAGCAGTTCATGTAATCGTTGAATATAATTGGAAGGGTCTTGTGGTCATCGTGTTTCCGGATAAGCTGGCGACGATAGCGAGTGAGGGCTGCGAATGTGGCGTCTTGATCACCGGCGACGTGCACAAGAGCGGTAGGGGGCGTGTCATACTGGCATCCCGGCTCAAGCTTGAATCTCCATTCGTGGTCCTGTGCCTCTGCTCCCGATGTCGCCAAATACAAGCTGTCTTTGTAGTCACCGAGTTCCCATCGCCATGCTCCATTGTTCTCGATTTGCCAGAGCCAAGTTGCGCTGTGATCTTTGCGCTGCAACATGCCCATGGGCAGATGACCTTGTGTCGAGAAGGTACTGCGATTAGATAGGCTGAAGACGTGCATGGAGCCGAGATGTCGATTGGTGGTGAGTTGATATACCCCGTAGTCGCTCAAACCGACGCTCGGGAGGGAAACCGTTTGCCACTGTGCCTCTCGAAACCAGGTGTTGTTCGGAATGCTGAGTTCGTAGTCGTTCCACCATTGGGAACCGCTCACGAGACCGCCGAAGACCATACTCGTCAATTGGCTGATATTTGTTGCCTCGGCGGAGTCGTTCCGAATGGTGGAGTAGGATCGCAGAACGGGCAAATCGTCGTATAGCGTCCAGTGACTGATCACCACAATCTTTGTTGTCTCGTCCCACATTTCGATATCCAACGTCTGACACGCCCCCTTTCGCTTGAGATCGTGTGATCGATATCGGAAGTGTCTTCCACCGATACTGCCCACCAGACATTTGCCTGTCTTGTCGTGGACCCGATCGTTGCCCTGACCATTCAATCGGCTCTCGAACACTGGCAACGAAGAGTTGTCGAACCATTGCGAAGTCTGCCGAGCAACTGGATTGGGAAGTGCAATGATGCCGTCCAGGGGTGCGCGGGACTGATCATCGATGCAGAACACAGCTTTCAGGACAGCATTCTCCAAGGATATCGTCGATTTAGGTGACATTTTGCTGGTCGTGCCTGAGGTGTACCGTAGTCTGACAGTGTCGTGTAGTAAGTAAGCCGTCCGTACAGGTCTATGGCTGTCCGAGCATGAATGCTGAGCATTTATAGGTCCACGCATCGCATCTTTCTCGGCGGGATGACGTAGCGGGAATTGCCTTGTAAACCCACCGAGCCGAGTTTAGAACAGGAACCCGACCAACCCCGATCGGATGCCATCGAGCTGAGAAACTTACAGTACCAAAATTGCCGAGCCCAAGGAGCCCCGTGGAATGACTATATAGTCTCCCCTCCCAGCCCCACACGGTTCTCCATGTTCTCCATCATCCTCCCCTGAAGCCTGAAGTCCACTCTCGTCATACTATATTTTGTACACCATGGAGAAGTTTCAGAACGACTTGGTCGAGCACATCGACGTGCAGGGTACCGGCACCTTGCAGGACGCCCATCTAGCCACTGCTGCTGAGCACGACACTACGCTTCGTCAAGCGCTCAAGCAGTGGAAATGGGCTGTGGCATGGTCACTTGTAGTTGTCCATGTCAATCATCATGGAAGGCTATGACACCGCCCTCATTGGAAACGTAAGTTGTGCCACCGACTCGTGTAGATTCTCAGCCTGACTGCCCGCAGCTGTATGGGTATCCGGCCTTCATACGTGCCTTTGGCACGTATTCCGAGTCGTCGGGATATCAACTCTCCGGACAATGGCAGATCGCTCTGGGCGTCTTGGGAAGTGTAGGCGCTTTCGTCGGCGCTCTACTCAACGGATACTTTCTTCGACACTTCGGGTTCCGACCCGTCTTCATGGGCAGTCTGGTATTGATGGCCGCCTTCATTCCCATATCCGTTTTCGGCAATTCAGTCAGTCTGCAAGTGGTCGGCCAAGCGCTATGCGGGTGAGTGCTTCTCAGAGTAGCCAGCCTGCAGTATACTCACCTAATGCAGTCTTCCATGGGGCATATTCGCTACTATGGGCCCAGCCTATGCGTCTGAAATCCTTCCCTTGGCATTGCGTCCATACCTCACGGCGTACACAAACATGTGCTTCGCCATCGGTCAATTCATCGCTGCGGGTGTACTGCAAGGCACAATCAACGTCAACGGGGAATGGTCCTTCCGCATTCCTTTTGCTGTGCAGTGGGCCTGGCCAGGCTTCCTGCTGGTGCTTGGCTTCTTCATGCCGGAGTCACCGTGGTGGTTGGTACGCAAGGGCCGACTAGACAAGGCGGCGGCTTCTGTCAGAAGGTTGATGACGCATCCCGACGACATCCAAGTTCGTCAACTGATCGCATTGATGGAACATACCAACGCCATGGAAGAGGCGGCGACCAAAGGCAGTACTTACCTCGATTGTTTCCGCGGCACCAACAGACGTCGAACGGAGATAGCCTGCGTCATCTTTGCTGGCCAGGTCTTGTCGGGGAGTCAATTTGCCTACTCGTCGACCTATTTCTTCGAGCAAGCAGGTATGAGTGCGGACAATGCCTATAAGCTGTCACTTGGGGGTACGGCAATCGCTTTTGTCGGCACAATCGCGAGCTGGTTCCTGATGGGAAATCTCGGACATCGCGTTCACTACCTCGGCGGACTGGCGGTGATGAACACCTGCTTGCTCATCATCGGAGCTTTGAGTGTCAAGGAGGACGACAACGCCGCCATCTGGGCTGCAGCTGCCATGTGCATCATCTGGCTTCTCGCCTTCTCTCTGTCCATCGGGCCAGTCGGTTGGACGATACCTGCAGAGGTCTCTTCGACCCGTCTTCGCTCGAAAACAATCGTCTTGGCACGGAACACATACTACGTATCGGCGATAGTGGCCAATTTCGTCGAGCCAAAACTCATCAACCCGACCGAAGCAAACTTACGGGGCAAGACGGGCTTCGTCTGGTTCGGTCTTGGAACGTTAACGCTCATTTGGGGATACTTCCGGATGCCGGAGACGAGCCGGAGAACCTTTGGGGAGCTCGACATCATGTTTGAGAAGCGGCTACCTACCAGGAAGTTTGCGACATACCGAGTCAACGAGTTCGCGCAAGAAGGTGAGGGTGGCAGAGAAGAGGTGGCCACAGCTTAGCGTCGGAGAGCCGTGCTCTGGAGCCTTCCCGGCTGCGTGGCGCCTCATCCAGCTACTTACACCGTTGTCTACCCAAGTCATGTAACCTACAGAACCTATGTCATCTCGCGCCTTAGGGCCTTGGATACCCATTGTCCGCCTCTGCGTGTTCGACCCCGCCGGTAATCTGCATCTCTATACGACGACGTTTCCAATCCCAAGTAAGGGACAAGTACGAACGTATCTCAAACCAGACCGGACAGATGCGAGGCAATCAGCCAACACTGAACTTGGCTGAGAGACTATTCGCGGATAACACGCTCTGGAGTACCAGCAAGAGTCAACACTGGCAGGGTTTACTGCCGGGTGCTTTCGACAACCGACACATATGTCTATTGCAACGGCGTCACAGCGACCGACAGCTAAATTTGCAGGGAGAAGACCAAAAAGGGCAAGGTGCAAGGGAAAACGACAGTAAAAGTCATTCCGGAGGAGATTCGAACTCCCGACCCTTTTCCAGTTTGAAGACCCGATTCCCAAACCCGGACGAGCACCAAACTAGCTCTGCACACGACGAGCATTCCAGCGCCGAGGGCGACAACGACGGTGAGGGCGTGAGGCAAGGCGGAGTAAAGGGACTGAGCAGCTTCACTCTGGTGCGTGGAGGCGGACGGCCGAGAGCTGTGAGTCGAGTAGCGCCTTTGACGCATTGAATCGTGTACATAAATTTCAAAGGCCTCCTTCTTTGTTTGAGCCTCTCCGGTAGCTCAGTTGGTTAGAGCTTTGTGCTTATGTTGTTTCCTTTTATCTCACAAGGGTCGGGAGTTCGACTCTCCTCCGGAGAAATTTTTAGAACGTCCTTGCTTCTCTTGCTATCCTTTGACTTCTTTTTGGTGCAATCCGAAGATCCTTCCTGTCGCTGTGAGGGTGTCGCCTGTTGGGGTGTAGTAGGTGCTCTTGAAATGCCGAGCTGGCGGAAACACGACAATCACCGAAGGCAAAACAGGTGGCCGGCGCTGCACAGGAGGATACCACCCGGGAGGCCGGCGACGACTCTTCGCCACGAACAAACCGAGGAGAGGGGCATGTCCCATATCCCCCTCGAGTGGGTTTTTGGGCCCTGCATCCCTCCCATTCTGAGGAGCACAACGTGTGACAGCTATTGTCTGTCGTTCTGAGGCCTTTCACCTCGGGGCTGAACTCCTCTACATATTTTGAAAGGCATAAAGGCGGGCTTCAAAATGAGAGATCGAAGAGCAAAGCAAGTGCCACATCCGTCCGAGCGGGATCAGATATCCAAGGCGTCCCGTCTCCAAACGCACGTTTGCCACTCGACGTCTCTCTTCTCGATGGATTCGAAAGAAGTCGGACCCTCGTCCAGCGTTCTTGGAAGTCGCATCGCCATCCCCGAGACGACGATGAAGGCTGCGGCATCGCTTACGTGGAGGACGAGGAGGACGAGGGAAGAGTGCCAGTGCCAGTGCCACAAAGGAGAGACGCTGTGTAATGCCGGTGGGGTGGGTGGTGGGTGGCGGCTGTGGCGGCGAGGGCCGAGGGGAGGGAAGTATTTTCAGGGTCGGATGGCGTGACACGACCTCACGGATGGAAGCCACCGTACGACTTTTCCATCTCGCTCTTCCTCGACTTGACATCCATCTTTCTTTCTCCTCGTCTGCTGTATACCACTACATCTCTCACACCACTTCCACACATCCATCCCACAATGACCGGCATTGTCAACGGAAACGGCCCCGCCACCCAGCTTGCCCCTGGCCAGTGAGTGCTTGCCGTCCATCCTCGTTGCGGAACAAAAAGTTGGGGAGATCCCGACGCACGCAGCAACGTGCGTGCGGCACGGTGCTTGCACCAGCCGCGATGCTACGTCCGCGCGCCGAGCAGCGCGTCCGACTCCAGCTCATGTCCGGCTGCGACTTCGCCTGACCTCTTTCCAGTCTCACGCTGACGCCGCAGCTTCCTCTTCACCTCCGAGTCGGTTGGTGAGGGTCACCCCGACAAGATCGCCGACCAGGTCTCGGACGCCATCCTCGATGCCTGTCTCGCCCAGGTGAGCACGAGGGCTGATCATCCGTCGCTGTCGCGTTCCCCCTTCCCCCCAAGCCCCCGCTGACATCACCAGGATCCCTTCTCCAAGGTCGCCTGTGAGACCGCCACCAAGACCGGTATGATCATGGTCTTCGGCGAGATCACGACCAAGGCCATCGTCGACTACCAGAAGGTCGTCCGGGACACGATCAAGCAGATCGGCTACGACTCGTCCGAGAAGGGCTTCGACTACAAGACCTGCAACGTCCTCGTCGCCATTGAGCAGCAGTCGCCCGACATTGCCCAGGGTCTCGACCACGGTGCGCTCGAGAACATCGGTGCCGGTGACCAGGGTATCATGTGAGTGATCCGAAGTCCCAAGTTGAGCTGTCAATGGAGATCGATTCGAGCCGTGCTGACGCTGCGATTCAGGTTCGGCTACGCCACCGACGAGACCCCGGAGATGATGCCCCTCACCATCACCCTCGCCCACAAGCTCAACGCCGCCATGGCCGCTGCCCGCCGCGACGGCTCGCTCGGCTGGCTCCGCCCCGACTCCAAGACCCAGGTCACCGTCGAGTACAAGAAGGACCCCTCTGGCGCCGTCATCCCCCTCCGTGTCGACACTGTCGTCATCTCGACCCAGCACGCCGAGGAGATCTCCACCGAGGACCTCCGCAAGGAGATCATGGAGAAGATCATCAAGGTCGTCATCCCCAAGAACCTCCTCGACGAGCGCACCGTCTACCACATCCAGCCTTCCGGCCGATTCGTCATTGGTGGTCCTCAGGGTGACGCCGGTCTGACCGGCCGAAAGATCATCGTCGACACCTACGGCGGTTGGGGTGCCCACGGTGGTGGTGCCTTCTCCGGCAAGGACTGGTCCAAGGTCGACCGTTCCGCCGCCTACACCGCCCGATGGATCGCCAAGTCCCTCGTCGCCGCCGGTCTCGCCCGCCGCGCCCTCGTCCAGCTCTCGTACGCCATCGGTGTCGCCGAGCCCCTCTCCATCTTTGTCGACACCTACGGCACCGGCAAGAAGCCCGACGCCGAGCTCGTCGAGATCATCCGCCAGAACTTTGACCTCCGTCCCGGACTCATCGTTCAGCAGCTCAACCTCCAGCAGCCCCAGTACCTCAAGACCGCCTCGTACGGTCACTTCGGTAACCCGGCCTACTCGTGGGAGCAGCCCAAGGAGCTCAAGTTCTAAGCGGCTCTTCCTTCCCGTCTTGGTTCCTTGTTGTTCATAATCACCACAACCCCTAGTCATCCTTTCCCTCCGATCCCCTTCCTTGGCATTGGGACACCCTCGAGGCCCCACGCGAGTTCCACCTCGCGCCCACCCCGCCCCAACTCTCCACACCCGACAACGCATCAACACAAAACACCTCTATACCCATTGCATCCGCCATATCCCTCATAGTCGATACCTCGTCTTGTTCGTTCGGCCCCACGCTGGCTCTCCCGTCTGTGAGCGGTTTCAGGCGGGAGCAGTGGGGCCACATATACCATCATGCTTCGTCCTGCCGACGTCTATAGAGTTCTGTCATAGAGCGTAGGTAGAGCGAGGACTTTCCGGGAAATGAATGCGCTCAACCGCCACAAATCGAGGTTACGTCCACGACGCACACATTGCCATCTGAGCACTGCACATCACTGCTGCAGTCTACAGTATTCGAGCTTTGAAGACGAGGAAAGGGGAGCCGCCCGTTGCCAGCGCAGGGAAGTGGCGTAATCTCTGTGTGTATTGTGGTGCTTGTGGACCGTGGCATCGAACTACTTCGTTCCGGTTTTGGGGACACCGCAGCATTCCCTCGGGATTCGAGTGCTCGGAACGAGCCTTCTTGCGCGTATCAAGCGACTACTCACAGGTGGACTGCATACTCATCCGACCTTCGGGCTTGTCGGATTTTGGTGATTCGAGGAAGGCCGGCTTCGTGTTGGCCCTCAGTCCTCGGAAAGGATCTCTCGGGCAAGAAAGAACGTGGTGAGTGGCTCAGGCAGCACATGCGTGAAAGGCTTCCAATGCGGACTTTCGCAGCGATGGCAGTGAGGATACGATACGATACTTCACCTATTTTACCGAAACATTTCACAAGCGCTGTCGGAGACACTCAGCTCACTTCCGCCTATGTCGCTCAGGCTGTTGGGCTGCCATTCCGTTCATGCGGTATGTACTCGTCCTATTCCAGCTCCGCCGCCCGAGGCTTGAACGTGCGTCATGGACAGTCGGGAATTGAGTATTTTCGAGTCCGTGACCGATCGTACCGGACATAGCGACCCTTCGTCGCGCTATATAACCCGACACACATGGACCTTTCCAGACTTTCAACCCAACAGACTTGAACACGACGCAGACGACAATCACAGCGAATTCGTAAACTTTGAAAGCCGCCATGTTCCGCAGTCAGCCAAAGTCCGACACCACCACCCTGCCCGACGTCTCCACTAAAGAGCAAGTCAAGCAACTCGTTACGAGCGCCACTAATGTTGGTTCCTTCTCCTCGGTGGCGGTCGCTGAACATGTCGATTCTGCTGCTCAGAGTTTGAGACTGGATTCTGGGACTCGCAGCGCCGCGAGGACCATGTTGAGCGCTACGAGAGAGCGGGAGTCGGGGGCTTCTTCGGCCTAGCACCTGCTGACGAGGCCACTGGAGGGATCTGCGGCTGTAAAAACCGGGATCCTGCTCCGTATATGGCCACCTTCATGATGGCACTGCTGCTGAACTCGCAGTGCTCGTGCTCGTACTCGTAGATGTGAGATGAAGTGATGAGGCACGCAGGACGACTCGATCATAGCTGGTTGCAGATTTGTTCGAGATCGCTCCCTCAGACGCGTTTACCCCGAGCACAGGAGGAAGACTGGTCCGTCCTACGCAGCTCAGGAGTCTCGTTTAGAGGCTACAGTACATGTATGTATGTACTCTGCGTATGGTGATCATCTGCAGCAGTGCCACGGCTGTCCGTGAGACACAAATGCACGTCATCGCTTCTCCTCCAAATCATCAATGGGAGACTCGGCCGGCACGTCACTTGGGGTGGCAGCACCCGGCGAAACGTCGGCCTTGCAAGAGTCGGCCGTGGTCAACTTGACGTTCTGCTCGGTACAAGTATCAGCTGTGCGGCTCTCACTCGATCGTGTCAGAACTCAGCGCCGTGCCCAGCGCGAGGTCGAGATGTTGAAAACGAAGGTATCACCTTGACAAACGCTACGGCGAGGACCGACACCGCGATGAGGGGCAGAAACGTGAGGAACACGACTGTGAATCCCGAGGCTTCTGCCGAGCGGATCGCGGACACGAGATCGCTGCTCAGATCTTCGACGAGGGCGGAAGCAACTCCCCCCGAGAGGATCTTGGCTCGTTGGACATCCGAAAGTTGGGATATGGAGGCGAGGTCGGTGCGTGCTCGCATGTTCCGTGCGGACGACGCGACTACCAGTCCAATGGCGCCTCCTACGGAGCGGAACATGTTGCGGGCACCGGTGACTACCGCGCGAAGATCCTCGGGTGCGTCGGCCTGCATCGTCACGAGAGCTAGGAACACACCTCGTCACTGCACATGGTGGGACTGAAACGTTGCGAGACCTACTCGTTTGGAGTGTCAGGCCTGTGGAGAAGCCAACGAGGAGGAGAACGCCCACGATGTAGCCCGTGGATGTCCCGGTGTCGAAGCGGTACATCAAACCGAGACCTGCGAGCTCAGCTCACGTTGAGGACCCCTCGCTTGTCCCAGGATACAGGACATATACTTACCGACCAGGTTCAAGGCGTATCCCAGTTGCATCTGCGGGACGATCTGT